AATGAAATAAATGTTGAAAATAATGGAAATGTCCCAATGCTTTCAAATTCATCCAACTCAGAGTTCTCTAACAGTACTGACGATTTAATAATAACCAACGAGCTAGAAAAAATTAATTTAAATAAATGTTATAATGAACAAAATGAAAAATCTAAACACTATTTTTGAGAAGAAGAGAAAAAACTTATTCTTTGACGAAACATGGTGCGGAGCAAATCACTCAAGAAAGTTTGGTTGGGTTGAAAATTTGGTTTCAAGTGAAAATAATAATTTTGATTATTATCGCAATCACGTACAAGAAGTTTTCGGTCAACGAGGAGGATTCATAACTCCATCTGGATCAGGACAGCGAATTATTATTCTTCATATTGGTGGAAAAGATGGTTTTGTGCCGGGTTGCTCAAAATGTTTTATTGGTAAAAAAGGTACTAATGATTATCATGGTGAAATGAATGCAAAACACTATGAAGAATGGTTCCGACATGTATTAACAGTTTTACCGCCAAAATCAGTCATTGTTCTAGATCAAGCACCTTACCATACAATGCTTGATCCAGTATTTCGAAATCCTACAGCGGAATGATTAAAAGCTAAAATTATTGAGTGGTTACATAAACGTGGGGTACCAATACCTGATTTTGCAGAGGACTTTAACGATTTAACAAAACAATCACTATTAGAATTATCACGAAGTTATCGCTATCCTAAACAATATTTACTTGAAAAAATAACAAGAGATATTCGCAGCAATGAAGTTCAATTATTGTGGTTGCCTGTCGCCCATTGCGAATATAATCCAATTGAACTTATATGGGCATACGTAAAAAATTATGTTGCAAAACCTAATAAAGATCACAAAATTCATAATGTTCATAAGTTGTGCTCAGAGGCATTGGACCATGTGACACCATTACTGTGGTCAAATTGTGTTAGACATGCAGAAGCAGAAGAAGAGAAATCAAGAAAAACAGACCAATGTGTTGAAACGCAAATTGAATCCTTCATAATTAGCACTGGAAATGACAGTGATGATGAAGATAATAATAGAATCTATAGTAATTCAGAAGAGGAAATGTAAATAGGCAAGTAACAACTATTTTTAATCACAGAATGTATATAAATTTTTTCTTTTCTGAATATCCTATAGATATCTAATAATATTCATGGGACATCCAAAGGATATCCATAGGATGTCCGAAGAACAACCGAAATATGACATACAAGCATATGTCTGGAATTTATAAAAATATCATTCAGGCATCGCTAGGATATCCTTTACGGCGATAGTTTGAAGTTTTAAGGAAATCCCAGGATATTCTTGGAAGGTCCTGATGATATCTTGGGTATATATGTAGGATATCCTTTATGGAGATACTTTGAATTTTTTTAAGGATATCCTAGGATATCCTTGGAATGTCCTGACGATATCTTAGGTATATATGTAGGATATCCTTTATGGAGATAGTTTGAAGTTTTAAGGATATCCTTATAATGTCCTGAAGATATCTTGGGTATATATGTAGGATATCCTTTATGAAGATAGTTTGAAGTTTTAAGGATATCCTAAGATATTCTTGGAAGGTCCTGAGGATATCTTGGGTATATATGTAGGATATCCTTTATGGAGATAGTTTGAATTTTTTTAAGGATATCCTAGGATATCCTTAGAAGGTCCTGAGGATATCTTGGGTATATATGAAGAATATCCTTAATGGACATAGTTTGAATTTCTTAAGGATATCCTTCGAATGTCTTGAGGATATTTTGGGTACATATGTAGGATATCCTTTATGGACATTGTTTGAATTTCTTAAGGATATCCTAGAATATCCTGTATCATGTGAAGATATTCTGAGGATATCTTAAAGATATACTTTTGTAATTATTGTTTTTTTCACAGGTACTTGATATTTTATTATTTCTTGAACATTGACTGACGCTTTCATTGTAAGTTTGGACTAATATATGTTACTACAAGTATGCAGAAACACTTTCTAGTTTTACAATACTTTATTTATAATTTATTTATCTACAACTTCGAAATATGTATATAAATATGTAAATTAAGACAATAATAAATAATAATTTTTCAAACTGGAGACTCCATCCAATGTGACTCCATCCATTGGACACGTTGGTGGCGCGGCGCGGTAAAACGTCGGAGGGGGAAAAGTGGGCGTGACTAAACTTAGAAAATAATATTCAGTAGCGTCTGTTTAAAGTGTATCATTGACAAGTCCAAAGTCAAAATGGTCAATAAAATAAAAAAATTATTGTTGACGTTTCAACAGCACTGCTGTCCTCATCAGAAGCTAAAATATTTATTAATGGAATAAAAAATATTTATTAATAAATAAAATTTATTAATATTTTACGGTATCAGTGAAAGACCCCATCTTTTTTATTGGTAGTACAGCCCTGAATATTTACGGTTTTCGGCGTAGAGGTTGCGTCAAGTACGAACTCCATCGACTGGACTAAGACTCGAGCCCTCCAGTGGATGGAGTCTCCAGTGTAAAGTTTATTTTATTTACTTACTTTTTAATTGAAAGTTATAGGTTTGAGAGTAATGTCCTTCTGTCAGGTAAGGTTGACAAAAATATGCTTTACTCTCTACCCAATTATAATACAGTGGATAACAAAGAATCACAATAAAATTAAGGGAGGTCAGGTATACGGACTCGATGGTATGAGTTGAAATGCGATGAACGCATCTGCCCGAGTAGTGAGAGGAAGAGAGACAGAAGGTATGAAAATAAATGAAAAACTTCATAAAGCTGTAGCAAACTTTTCTCAAGTACATTTTGTCTACAATATTTTTAGTAAATTCAAAATATTTCAAGTTTTGAAATTTTTTTACCTACACCCTTGAAGAAACATTCGAAAAAACTCTTTTAAAGTTGTAAATAAATGGTAAGAATAGAAAAAAGTCAAGAAAAAGGTACGGTAGTACAATAATGTTACCGTGGTGTCTGCCGATGACAAAAGGGTTCAAGATGACCCGCACCTTGCTTTAATGGAGGTAATAAAGCAAAAAATTGAAAATATTTTTATAAATAATTCTTTAAAAAATTTTTTTTTAATATTTCCTTAATTGTTTTTTAAACAATTTCATATTTTACATAATTTAAATTTTGTCTCAAACCTGTGCGTTTATTTTTGATAGAGATAGCTTTTTATCTTTGTTTTAATTAACAGAGAAAAGTTAATAAAATAATGATTTTTTATTTATACAATATGATTAAGAAGGAATCAAATATTATTAAAAAAAATTGGCTTAAAGATATCATATAAATTGAATGAGCTACAAGCTTTCAAAGTTGCCCTTTGTCAAAACCATGCAAAAAACCATGTATTTTTAATCTTTAAAAATCTGTAACATTTACAAAAAATTTTTTGGTTATTTGCAATTCTGTATAGAAACGTAGGAATAGTGTAGCTACTTATTCCATGTTGTCTTAATAACGTACGATTTCTTTTACCCAAGTTATAAGCTTTCAAAGACAGGGGTCTATACTTTTTGGACCGATAAGTAGACAAAATTTCGGTACCCGCTTAGTTTCATGAAAATACGGAATAGAACACAAGCGCTCTCGTGGGAAGTATGTAAACAGTGGGAAAAATTGGAAGTACGTTGAACATAACCCAAAAATATATTGCTCCTTACTTTTAAAACTTTTTTTTGAGGTTTAGCGGGTAACGAAAAGTGGTCTACTTTTAACGCAGATTTAGCAAGGTCGTTCGGTCTCCTTATACTACTCCATGGAAGTATAGTAGGAAGACGCATCAATGACAAACCTGCCATTTATAAAGTATCAAGAAAAAGACAAAAAATTCAAACGAAGAGTGAAATAGAGCTAATAATAAATCTTTGAAGTATAAAAGTGTAAGCAATTTTTATTTCTTTGTTACTTAGTGTAATCTATTATCTACATATTAATATCTAGATCAACATGAATGATTCTGTTGGAGGTTTTATAGTTGAGATTTCTTTAGAGTATCATGAAAATTCTAGACTGCTATGGTAAGGGGTTAGGAAAACAGAAATCTCATTAAGAGGGGTTTCTTATAAAAAAATTGATTTTTTAAATTTACTCCTTAATATGTCAAAAAGTAACCTCCTAAAATTTTAAGTCGATCCGAGTGATAGTTTTTGAGATAGATCTCCCACTATAACTATAGTGGGTGTCGCAACCACTGTAACGTATAGCGCTATCGTGGCTTTAAACGTGTTTTTCTCAAAATCATGTTTTTTACGGTAGACACGCTTCAGAAAACACGAAGAAAGATATTGCCTTTAATTTTTTTTGCATATTGTTTGGCACACCTTTCCGCAGTTACTAAACTAGGATGAACTGAATCGGTAACCCCCCCACCTCCCCCGCTAGATTTAAGTACGAAATAACGTTGTTTTTTCCAATTTTTGATTCAAAAGTCCGCCATTTTTTTATTTTTTGATTTTCAGTAAAACCCCTAGGTTAGAAAGTCACCACATATGTATATTTTAAGAATCTTTTTGATTTTTTAATTTCCAGTGATTCAAAATGGCGGAATCGTGTCTACCGCAAAATGCTTTTTTTGGAGTCAACTTCACCACACTATAACAAACGTTTAATTCAATAATTTAAATGTAAAAAAAAATTTTTTTGTTTTAAAAATACTTTAATTTTAATATGTAATAAGATTTAGACCGATATTTTAAGAAATAAAAAAAATATTGCAAAAAAATAATAATGTTCATTTTTCGCCTTTTTCATGAGAAACCCCCCTTAATAAACTGAAAGAATTTTAAAATCTTACGCGATTGAAGTTTTCACGCATGGGCCATAGATACATCCAGGCATCAATCTCTACTTGGGTATTTAAACATTTTAAGTTAAATGCATCTAAAGATGCATGTAACATAAAAACTGAATAGATTGCAAAAGGTTAAAGTTCATCTTTATTGTCACTGTGTTTAATTTATAAAGTAGGAGCTAATTATTTTTCTGTTACATTACCTTTGATATAAAATGATGTGTATATTACTGCAAATAGCACCTGCAGTAAAATGGCCTCTTAAATATTGCAAGGAAGAAAACATTTGGCCCAAATCGATACGCGACCAATTTGGATTCTTTTTAAGTTCTGCGATTAAAGCTGGTCCTTGATTCAAAAATTCATTATCTAAGAATTTTGTTCGATTTATAGCATCGGTTTTATTATTTTTCTGAATTCTGAAAAAGTAAAAAAACTGTAAGTACTGTATAAATATTGAGTAAGTCAAATAGAAAATAAATTTAATTTATACTTATTGGGTTTGTATGTTGGGGCTATAATATCTTTCCATTTTATTGACATATTATTTGATTTTAAATGTGCTATTCTTTTTTCTAAATCATGATTTACATATAATAAATGTAAAAATCTAGGATGATTTCGAAAAAGCATTAAAGTTGGATTTTTCAATATCTTCTCTAACTTATTTATAGCTTCAATAGGATTTAATGTCAGAACTTCTAAACAATTTGTTATTAAAGACTCGTATAATTGATTTTTATGAAACCAAGTTAAAAATTGTTTAATATTATTCACGGGCTGAAGTGTTATTTTCGGACATGTACGAAGAACTTCTTGTATTGTTATTTGACCAATATTTTTTATTTCGTAACATATTCTTCTGACATTATTTATATCACATTGTACGGCATACTCATAGTCTGTCTGAAATAAATGTAAAATTACATATATTATAGTAGATTCTCTCAGCACTTCTTCAAGTGGACATATTGCTTAACCCTCTACCTGCTCTGGGTTATCCCCACTCCAACACTATAAAAACTGGCCAGGCAGAGGTTTAAGAGGGGAGTCTAGTCTATCCGCATGGTTGTCAGCTTCTTGCGGACTTTCAGCTTGAATACGTTGATATACACTTACACAGATCTTAAGAATTGACAATTTTCGCATAACAAGTAAAAATGAATTTAAAAGCAACGAATGAAAACAAAAATTGTTGATGATATACAAAATAGTTCGAAATTTACCTGACTTAGTTTAATAATATTTTAAATTATTATTAAATGATTTAATTGAAATTGCCTTAAAACAAATCCATTAATTAAAAAAATTATTAATAATTAACAATAATACTTATTATTAAATTCTTTTAATGATAGAGAACACGGAAAAACAGATTATTTAAAAGTCTCAAGGCGATATAATTTCTTAAATAAGAAATCTTAAAGATAAATAAAAAATAAATTAAAGATAAATAAGAATCTTAAATTAAAAACAAATTTTTAAAATAAATATGTTTCCAAGTGCATAATAAGCAGAACTCTATTTTAGAAAACTAATTAAAATTTTAATTTAATTTTAGTTTAATTAAAAGTACTTACAATTTTACTTGTGTAGCCAATATTGTTTCTCAAATAGTCAACTTTTTTGTTAACCAAGTGCCAGCTTCTAAGTAATAACAGGTTCCAAAGTTTTGAGTCCTCTTTAAATATGTTTGAATCAATGCCAAATTTCCAATATACATAGTGTGGTAATAGTAAAGAACGTAATTCAAAAACAGTCATATCTTCATTCAGCTTTGAAAAAATTGAAGATTTGTAAGATTTCGAAAACACTTTTTCGTAAATTTCTTTTACTATCTTCACTTCTTTTGGAATATTTAAAACTTCCTTAAAGGAATTAATTTTCAACTTCATCAAGCAGTTCAATCTACTGAAAAAATATATCTTTAATTTTAAAAAATTAAAATTAAAAAATGCATTTGGTACACTTTTTTTACATAGTATTGACTAGTGATTGAATGAAGAATTTTTTCTGTTGATTACAACCGATTTTATATGGTCTAAATGGTCCCAAAAATCGTAATTTGTGACAAAAAACTTCCAAAAATTCAAATTTTAATTTTTTTAAAAACTCTTCGTTCAATCACGAGCTATACTCATCTACTAATAGAAAATATTTGTTTTTTTTATAAAGCAGTCATAAGAAATATCGTGGTGAAATGGTATTTCAATAGTCAAAAAAAATTTTATTATAAATAATTATAAATTATTTGGAAATTATAAATTAATAAATATTAAAAATAAAATTACAATAAGAAATGGAATTAAAACTAGACAAATTTAATTTCTGAAAATAATAGAAAGAGAGAGAAGATATCTATAGATAACACAATGAAAATATAAACAGCAAAAATAATAGAAAGAGAAGGTAGATACAAATACGAATTAAGAGAATTATTAATTTAATTTAAATTAAAAATTTTTTTTTTATAAATAAAGTATTTTTACAGATTATTATAAAGAATAAATTTATTTTATATATATTTTTTAAAATATTTAGAAAATAAAAAAATAAAAATTATTTTAAAAATTGCTGAAATTAATAATAATTAAATAAAATTATATGTTATATTAAAGTAAAAATTATTTAAAAATTAATGGTAAAAGTTAAATAATTTTAAAATTATTATTTTTTGAGAAATTAAAGATTTTAGAAAATGAAAATCAGTTAGAGGAAAATGATTGACAGGTAGACAATGGCATTGTTCTTGTCGAGCGTTAGAAACGAAATTAGAGAGAGAGAAAAATAACTCTGTCCTTAGAAAATAATTTAAATGTAATTGGCTATCCGAAAATAGACGCCGCGAAAAATCCAAATAGAGGCAGAAATTGGCGGTAAGAAATACATGGGAGAATCGCCCTGCGTAAAGTGGTGAGGGAAACTCGCGGATTTTTGCTTAATGAATTTAAAATTTCTTACTCACACACTCGCACATTTTGAATTTTACTTACCACAGAAAATTAAGGGTAGGGACGCAACTATATAAGCCAAGTAAATGCACGTTACTGTCTCTTTGGTCTGAACAGTTTAATACTGGTAACAGCTTTCTTTTATATTTTAATATAAGGAAATCTTCAGAATAACAAAATCTACAAAGTCAAGTCTTTCAAACATGCGAAGTGCAGATTGTTGGGGGCTGTCTAACGATCTCTACCTAAACGATCTGCATCTCTGGGCGAGAAAGATATCAAAGATTAAATCGTAATTAAAAATAAAATTTATTTAAAAAATTGTTAATTTTAAGAGACCAATTGTTAACGATTTCTACCAGTACGATTGGTTCTTCTTAAATTAACAATTATAAATTGTCGAAGAGGAAAGTCTGTTGTCAGGAGCTTTCAAAAGATTTCTACCAACACAACTGACTTTCCAAATCTGCAATAAAATAAATTATTATTTAACAAAACGACAAAAAAATACCAACAAACAAATCTTCAAAGTCAAGCCACGGATAATTGAGGCACCCAATCGAACAATCGGTCGCGAGCTCAAGCCGGACGCTCGGAAGCCAGTCAGCGTACGAAAATGTCAATAAAATTGAAATTCAAAATTTTAATATTTTAAATATATTACCTTATAGAAAATTAAAAGGCGCATCTTTTTTTCCTTTAACTTTTTTTTGCATAATGATTTTTATTCAATTTTTAAATATAAATCGTCATTTCTTCGACAAATATTGGTGAATTTACTTGGAACTTGATATACACATGCATTTGGGTCTAGAGAAGATAATAGGATAATGAAAAAGTTAAAAATCATCATTTGTTAATTTATTTGTTAGTGTAAATGGTAATCGCGTGTTTTCACTTTCTATTAGAAAAAGTCTGCAGGGAATTTTAACTTTAAAAATTTTCAGTGAAACATTTTTGTTCCTCACATATCCAAAAAACTTCTTTGATATGTGAGGAACAAAAATGTTTCACTGGAAATTTTTAAAGTTAAAATTCCCTGCAGACTTTTTCTAATAGAAAGTGAAAACACGCGATTTTCGACAAGTCACCATTTACACTAACAAATAATTTAACAAATGATGATTTTTAACTTTTTCATTATCCTATTATCTTCTCTAGACCCAAATGCGTGTGTATATCAAGTTCCAAGTAAATTCATCAATATTTGTCGAAGAAATGACGATTTATATTTAAAAATTGAATAAAAATCAAGAATTTAAATCTTTCATTTTTTTGCCATTATTATCCAAGATACAGAATTATACAAAAAAAAGTTAAGCAAAAAAAGATGCGCCTTTTAATTTTCTATATGGTAATATATTTAAAAAATTAAAATTTTGAATTTCAATTTTATTGACATTTTCGTACGCTGACTGGCTTCCGAGCGTCCGGCCCGAACTCGCAACCGATTGTTCGATTGGGTGCCTCAATTAATGTCCAGGGGCTTTCTAACGATCTCTACCAACACTGTTGATTGTCTAAAAGTGGTAAAAAATGAAATCGTAATTCTTGTTTAATATTCATATATGCCATGTGCATTGCAATAGGCGATCCACATGACAATTTGAAAGATTAAACTATAGAGATGTTCCTGATAAACCCAAAATTTTACCAGAATAGGATATAATTAATTTACTCAAATTAATTATCTAGTAGGGTTTTACAGAGATAAATCTATTGAAGTTTAATGTAAGTGTTATAGTTTAACAATATATTGTTAAACTATGATGACTCATTAAAGTTTAATTTTTTATACCAAGAATAACAAAAATAGAATAGAGTTAGAAGAAACTAACCCTTTAAAGTTTTGTTAGGTAAAGTCTTATAATATTGTTAAAATAATTTATTTCATATTTTTTTGTAGATTTTCAAAAAAACATATAACAAATATTGCAAAATCGATTTACTAGTGATATTATCACAAAATCAAGGTGTGTTCATATTTATTTTTATTTGCTTATAAATATAAATATATAAATTATGCTTATAAATATAATATAAATATAAATATAAATATATATAAATAAATATAAATACTAAAACCAAATTTTGATTACTTAAATAAAAATTACTAATTCTTTTATTTATTATCATTATTTTCTTTAGCATCAAATTCTTTGAAACGAGAAACAATCAATTGTTTAAACAAGTAAAAGAATTTTGAAAAGTTAATAACAAAAGCTAAAAAACCAAATAATTATTGGAAAGATTCCTCTAATTTAGTTTCATTATATTGAATAATAGAAATTAAGGATATAATTTCCCTTTAAATTTTAACAATACTATTGTTTCTTTTATATTAGAGATAATAGAATGTGGGTGATACTTCCATAAACATTTATGTTTATAGTTTATCAGCCACATGTTTGAACTCATTTGCTTCTCAGAATCGACGGGTCACGTAAACTTAATGAAATAAGAATAAGAAATTATATAATATATTAATAATCCCCGATTATTTTCGCGAATAATAAAATATATAATTTCTTATTGATTAAATTAAATGACAGAGTAGATACCAGTATAAATATAAACAAAAGAGTTTGCGAAAATGTTAGACTTAATGTCGACTAGACTATAGATAATGTTTTGAAAACAATTGAAAATATTGAAAAAAAGTTAACTATATACACTTGAGTACAGAAGAAAATTTTATAATGGTAACAGATAATGAATTAAAAATTAAAAATATAACAGAAAATCAAAATAAAATTGAACAAAAAGTTAATAAAATTAAAAGTAATGATTCAGCATCCAGAAGTTTATGGATGAAAGATGTACCATTACCTAAATTTTCTGTCAGTACTCAAAAACGCCCGATGACGTATTTGTTCGAGTTAGAGGATTATATGAACTTTAATGATATAAATGATGTTAAATTTAAGTATTTTATTCAAGCTAGTTTAGAAGGAATTTCTAAAGAATGACACTTTTAAATAGAAAAGAGTTTGTCGAATCTTTACCTTCTAATTTACGCGAAGAATTATTGGAAGAACAAAAAGTAAATATTCATGATTCATTTCAGAAAATTTTTATGAAAAAAATATTAAAGTATTTGATGTCACGAACCAAAAATTATTAATTATAAAAATTATTATTTCCTATGTCCTGGAGGTACCAAGCTGCCGAAATTAAAAAAAATTCCGTTTATTTTTATGGGATCGTGTATCCTATTTTAAAAGAAACTGCCAAGTTACGTTACTCGAAAATGAATTAAAGGGATAAACACAATAAAACAATTAAGACCCTTTTATACATTTATTTTATAAAAAGAAATCTCGACTTTAAAAAGAATGCACTTACGGGTCCACCGAATCTAAACAGCGCAGGCACCACACGTGCGGACTGGCCGGTCAAAAAGACAAAAATTCAATAATTTAATTTTATTTAAATTATTGGATTTTTATTAAACACGACTTCCGTTGGACTTCATCGGCGTGAAGTATTCACTTTAAATTTTCGTCCGTCAAATTTTAATCACTATCTATGTAGTGGATTGTAAAAATTGAAAATCCGACTCACGGACGGGCTTAGTCCCGGCGTCTCAAAATCGTTTTTATGCCTCTGAAAAATTTCAGAGCTGACTCGCGAAAGAGAGTTGTACTGCAATTAATTGACTTCCGCGATGTTCTTTTATATGAACGTTAAGAGACTTCAGGTGGGAAAATTCTGTGGACTAAGGGTTTTTAACACGTGATAAAGGCGTGAGCTCTGGGCCTGTTACTATGCCAATAATGCTGAGTTTCTATTTTCTTTCAATGGTATAGCCAAATATAATAATATGCACTTGATAAAATCAAGCACGAGTTATATTGAAAAGCTTGTTTTCTCTTGGGTCTATTTTATGAATTTTCCTTATTGGAAAATGTTTTGGTTTTAGGTACATTTACCCTTTTTTTCCATTTGTAACAATTACAA